GCTATTGGACAGAATGATAGAGTTTTTATAATACTAGTTTTAAAACGCACTTCAGAGATTGCAGTGTTTGAAGGTGTAGTTTCTCAGGAGGCAACAGTACTGTTGACTTCTCCCTCCACTGAACACCAACTATTTAAGTTGATTTGCATACAAAGCAGAGCTTGCAACATGATAGCTATTCATAAAGGGTGTTTTTTTTACTTTTCATATAATACAGTAGTCACACAATGAGGCAGTTCATATTTGTCTCAGTGAATCATTCATTTTTGACAGACACCTGTACAAAATACTTGAACTAAAGCCATCTAAATTTTTCTGCTATCTTGCATGTTTTATGAATCTATTCACATCTAAATGCAGCACTTTTTTTGCAATGAGACATTTGTTTTTGTTCTAAAATATCTCAATTACTTTCAATAAAGCTGGAAATTATGTTCCTTAAAATAATTAAACAAATAAGGCACCAATGTTTTTGTAAGATATTTACATCTTTTAAGGACATTCGGTAGACTGATTCCCCACTGTTGGTTCAACCCCAAAACTTGTTTGTATTCAAAATTAATTATGACAATGCATATTTATATTGAAACAAACTATGATAAAGGGAATTATATTATATAACAAAGGGCAAGGTCACCAGAGTCCAACTATGTTTTTTATAAACGTTATACAGTTTTTTCTATCCTGGCAATGTTTTGTACTGTATGTTGTTTTACTGTCGTATAAAAGATAGGCGATCATAAACGACCGTAATGTTGCTAAGTGCGTATTCGGTCAATTGTTTCTATGAAACGCATTAGAGTAAACACACATCAAATCAATAGTGACAGTAGGTTACAATAAGTATCTATGTCGCCCACTAACTAACTTTGACTGAAACTATTTCTGACTGGTTCCATCTATTTCCACAAAGCCAGATCACTTCCCTTATCGAGACTGACATCAAGTTATACAATCAAACCCTTGACAACGACAAGTCATGCTTGCGAATAATACTTATATAGTTATAGATAGTCAGTTTAAAAAAATTGAAGGTGAATAAATAAATACGACTATGCCCACACAAACTTTATATGTTCGAGAAGTATGTGTATTACTGTCGGTATTATTAATTCCCAGACCAAGCAAGACTTATGAACTAAACTATCATTCTGCCCGTAGAGAGGCGATCAAGTCTGGCATTGAATTACAAAAGGCATTATTTGTGTGTTCAAATTTAATTTGATGTCGACATTTCGTTCATTCATTTTACATTGTTTATCTAACATGGCTGAGTTTAGCGATGTTTATGTCAGAGTTAATATTAATCCTAAGCTCAGGTAATCTTAATCTTTAGCCACAAACCTTAATCTTTACAGCTGATCACTCACTAATCCATTTTTACTTTGTACTTCTTTGTTGCGTAATTGTTTCGATATATAAACGAGTTTTAATTGTGAATAAAACAGGGTTCTTAGTGAGCAGCAGAGCTGCATACCTCATGTCACCTACGTACTTAACAGTTATTCCCACAACTTACCCACCACTATACGATCTACCTGTACGAACCGCTCATTTAATACTTACAACTTTGCATCTGCATTTTACACAGTTGTTGGTCCAATGGGTAGCGTTGTAAGTACATAACACACGACAGTTTCAGTGTTAGTCTAGGGGAAGTAATTACAAAATGCATAAGTTATATTTGATGCAAAATGCACTTAAATTGACTTTGTTAACAACAAAGTTTGATAACTGACAAGCATATGTACTGTAATTTAATCAAGGTACCGAAGGTATAAATTATTCATATTATTTACGGAGCCAGTAAATGGTAATGCTACATATCCAGTCATGCTTCGCATAATGTGCCGTATCCACCAAGTGTACGCCGTAAATATAATGTATAATGGCAGTATGTGACAAGTTTAGTTACACGTCGTATTCATGAACCTATTCTATTAAAGAGCCTTTTCGAGCCCTTGCGATTCCCGACAGAGTAAATGTGTGCATCTGCCTGTAGCTTTACGTGCCATTTCATTCATGATATATCTAACGTTATTCAAATAGTCAGTAGGGCTTGTAGCAATATGTATGACATGATTTGCAGTACCGTATTCGTCTAGCGAATGTCTAATCAGTTGGTCTTACCTCAGGCCGTACAGGACTTCGCCATGAGGCCAGATACGCAGTAATTTGTTATCAACAGTCACATGGTGAAATCTGCCTTCTTTCTCGTTGGCAAAAAAGATATCTGGAATCCATATGTTATTAGATAAAGTCATCACATTCAACGAGATGCTAGAATTGTGGTTGAAAATTAGACGAGAGTCATTCCATCTTTGACGTAGAAACAGCGATGCGACAAAGTCCTATTGATCAGAAAGTTAATGAATTAAAATTACCACATTCATTTGTTTTAATATTGAGCAAACGCACATTAATTTAATCATATCCTGTTTCTCAACATTGGCAACGACATAGCAAAGTTCGTGGGTGTGATTAGAGAGGGGGAGTGGTAATGTGACACATATCACACACATGTGTACGTGAATAATCGGGTGTTCCGGATTGTTGCCATGGATACCTGAGTATGGAGGTAGTAGATGTCCTATAGATTATGGTTTACATGTATATGACAAAACTATCTGCACCAGTCCGCAGGCAATCGCTAATCAGTCCCAATGACGTCAATGTGTTTCTTATTTCCGTTATCATCATGTGATAGTATAATCGTAAGAAGCATTATTTTGAATTGTGTAGTTGACTCTACGGCGCTTCTTACAAAAAGAGAAACAGCCCTAACATTTACTTTGCATCGTCGGTGGATATCTGATGCTCATTCCCAGTATTTCAACACAATTTTATGAGGTAAATAACCTATGAAAATCGAATCCTTGTCTTACCATTGTCGTTTCACTTATAGAGTCAAAGCTATTCACATATATTTCGCACTCAACTTGCACAGGAGGGCCTGCAACCGGAACAAACGGTACACTGTTAATGGATTTGCTGCTTCTAATATATATGCCACAAATAATACAGAGCAGGATGAAATGTTAAAAAAACCTTGAGGCAAAATATAACGAATATAAATTTGACATCCATTAGCCAAGTGCAAGGTACTATGTCATGTGCTGCTTGTGTGCGCAGAACTTCTTATATATACATCTCATTTGGGAATATTACTTTGGATTAGCAACGCTTAACAACGAGTCCTTGAAATGTTTTTTACATGTTTTATTTTAATACTGTGCCGCTGAATATTAACAAATGTATCAATACAAAATGTATGCACATACATCTACTTGTCAGCGTATCTATATCACAGTTATTGTAGTTAATAAACATTGTATGGGTTTAGAGTCTACGTATCAGTAATCTTACCTGCAACATTTGGTCTCAGTCTCATGTCGTAGCTATTCAGCAAACGGTTTAACAGCAATGTATAGGGAACAATATCTCCTAGGGGCTCTCTGTCACTGCGAACAAGTAAAAGGAAGAAATATATGCGATTCGGAACACAACATCACAAGATACTATTATATGCCACCTCAGTACTCTTCGATCTTATTACATTGTGTTTGTTACATGAAGATTATGTTTACAAAAGCATTAAAACCATTTTATCTACTATAACATTTATGCATTGAGATTCGTGAAATGCATATTTGCTATACGTTTTTTGTATGTGTGTGCAAGTGGTGCTCTAAGTAATATAATAAGAAAATATTCAAAATCAGTCAGTGTTTAACCAATCGCAGTACTCTAATTTGATGAATTTTGGCATCTTGATATTTGACACGTACAATAATAAAGTGAGAAAAAGTGATACAGTGATTTGGGGAATAAATCAATTTAGAGACAATTATATTAATATGTCATTTGGTTGCTGACTATACTATATATGCAGTATATTTTCACGCTATCTTGAATGGTATCGTGCTGTTCAAAATCCAGGAATAGAGAATCAAAAATGGATAAATCTGTCTCAATTACGGCAATGTACAATGCAAAATATGCTAGTCTGTTCATTTTAACATCTCGTGGCGTTCATGGGAAATCAATAATATCGTATTACACAATCTCTCGCGTAACGTATACGTATTTCATTTGTTGTTGATAAAGAGGTGCGCTTTTTTTGCGTGTAGCTTACATGCGCCGAAAAAAAACCCAGCATATATATATTTCATGTTGACTAAAACCGCAACGTTCGTATCTTTCAGATGTTTAAGGTAGAGATGCAGTTTACCTGACAGGTATTTTAATTAGTTAATTAGGAAACCAAGATGGCCTCACTTGTCAACAAAACTATATATTTTCGGAAAGCTTTTTGTATTTTTTTTATGAACACTGTAGTTTGAAATATGCACAAAAATGTGCTTTTTTGGTCAAAAGTGATTTAAAAAGAATTACTTTTAAGCCATGCTTCTGTTTCCTGTCAAAATTGGTTTATGGATACATCTGTTTACTATGAAAAAAGTACCGTCTTGAAAACTGTCTACAAGTTGTCAACTTTGCAGGGCAGCAGCTCAAATTTCACTACTTCAAGTTTATGCATAAATTAACACTCACGCTAGTTGTCTGTACGATTGTTGTAACGCTGTTCAACCAAAAACAATGCCTGACGGCGTATTGAAGATAAACACCTTGTCAATCATTTGTAAAAATTTCAAAACAAAAGGTCAAAGCGTCTAGGAGCTATTTGTTTTTAAAGTTCTGAGATAATTGCTAATTTGCATAATAATTCACTCACTAAGAAGTTTGCTAATACTCATAATTAAAATGGCTGTAACAGTTCCAAATTTAAATGTATTATAGTTTTGTTAAAACTTAAGTATAGTGCATAATATGGAGATCCCGTCATTTCTTTCTTATTATTTATGTACAGCCTTGCTAAATCTTGTTAAGCATTCTAAAGAGATAATGTTTGCACCTGTTATCCATATTTTAAAATCGTTTTTTGAGTATGTTCCACTATTCACAATTCTACAAAATTTTAACAGTCTATAGCCAAGACTGTTTGGATAATAAATAGAAAAAAAAATCACTCCCAAGTGCCCACGAACCTGCATCTCTACCTTAAGTTTGAATGTAATCTTCTAAAAACCTTGAATAGCAGAAAGCTTATAAAAACAGTTGGTCAGCAACCAATCACGACTCACTTCCTTCAGTTTATTTCAGTAATTCGGTCCCTGGTTGGATAATATATCCCGCCGGTAAAGATGTCGCTCGTGCTATGCAAGATGTTATCGGGTTACGATAACAAAGCCGAAAACACTCCAGAGGGCAATTCTTATTCACGCGATGTTGTTGTTCAACTGAAGCAATAAACATTGAGACATATATTTTTTTTTTTCTTCAAAACAGTTTATGCAAATTCACGGTCAAATTATTTATGGCTTTTAACATCACACATCATCATTTAGTTCACATTGAAATACGAAAACAGTTAACGCCATAATGCACGCAACAGGTTCCCTGCATCCTCTTTTCTAAGCGTATCAAATAACATCCACACTATCATTCAGGTCAATCTGATTAAATCCTGATGTAGTGTACGGGCTTTAATTATTTTGGCTATAAACTTATTTTAATTTTATTTTTTATTACTTTTGTTACTAATGCCCTTTTATTTTATTATTTTACTTTGATTTTGATTTTGTGATTTTTTTGATTCCGCCCTACCTACATCTGGTCCTTTGAAATAATTGTACGTACCAATTGTTGGCTCATTTGCAAATTAGTCTGTAGCATCACTGGGATGCTGTTGTAACGAATGCTGTTATTTGTTGACAGTGATATTTTTTAATCATGCATCCGATGCATGTGTCGAAAACGGATATATTTGAAATATTCTGTGTAATTTGTGATTTTAAATCAATTTTAGATTTCTCTGTTTAAGTGTATTGGCTTGACCTGCAATTAAAATCAATAATAATAATGATAATAATAATGCTAAAAATAATGCTAATAATAATAATGCTAATAATAATAGTAATAATAAGAATAAGAATAAAAATAAATAAATAATAATAATAATAATCGTGTGCGTGAGAATACACACATATCAACCAACAGCCACATTGAACATTTACAGCTGAATTTCCCGCCAACGATAATGCCATGAACTTACCAGGTTTCGAATCTGTTAAAATTTAAGTGATGTAGTGTTATAAAAACAACATACGTACCTTTCTGGTGGTTGTATGACGGTGTCGGTCTTATCAGGATTGGATGAAATGTTGTCACACAGACATGTCCTGTATTACAGAGACACGTATCATAATTGGTTATTTTACAATTAGCGCACAGTGACGCTGCCATACACATTATTGTTATTTTGCAAAGAGGGCCGCGGGCTACGCTATAACGCCGTTTGCACTAGTTATACCTATAATAATAACCGGTGATAATGATGTATATCCAGTACATCCTAATACGATACCTCGCGTGTATTCATTTTCTCTTTCAAAGGTCTCACAGATTTAGGAAAATTATAAAAAAAAATTGTAAAACAACGTAGCTCGAATCTCTTTACCTTGTACATTTGACGCAATCTTGAGATTTTTTCAGGACGTCACATTTTTTAAAAGTCATGTCAAATGTATGCATGTTTCAATTGTTATTTTTTCAACTGAAACAACTCCCCATAATTACGAATGAACCATCTGTTGGGGACACATTATACTGCCAAATTGTCGGCGATTACCAAGAGTAATCCTGTAACCATAGCATTAATTCCGTACTAGGAAGAAGTATTCGCTTCACTGAAGATATATTATTCTTTCCGTATTTCCGTTGGCATATGTCAATGAATAAGTAATTTTTATCAAATTGTTATCAAATCTAATTATCGGGAGTATGAAAACAATATAAACAAATTTGATTGATTGATTTTAGCTACGTCGTTCAATTATTTAGCGGCACTCAGTAAAATGATATCTCTAAAAGCTTAGCGAACACTGGTGAAATATCGAGTGACGGACGATCCGTGTTGAAATTCACCACAAAACACTTTGGTTTTTAGAGAATAACAAATTCACAGCACCATCTGTTGATTTTTCCGCGGTGAAGAGAATGGTAAAACAACTGCGATTCAAGCATGCAGTTGGTATGAGCGATTGCTATTCACATTATTGTGGTCGACCGTACGAATAGCGGTAAAACAATAATTGTATTATTACATGCCTTGAAACAAGATGAATAACACCGGATATTCATAATACGTAATGGAATTAATTTTGGAATGATACTAATCAATCAGCTGCCACCACTTCCAGGTAGGATTTTTTTCAAGTAAAATATAATCGACAGTCGTGTTCGCGTGGCACTGCATATAACGATAATGATAATATGAATGTACCTGTGCTATAGATTGTAGACATCCAATTGCACTTACCCAGAGACCAATGAGCTCTGCAAGCCTATACTCGTATAAACAAAAAAATAAGTAGCACGTATACAATAGCGAAATCCCGCCAGATCGCCTCGTTTTGCGAGTCGTATTTTCATCGTGGTGTGTGTCCCATCCTCACTCAGCACGAGAATGACGCCACTCTGTTCACATCAGACGCTCTAAACGATTCCCTCCTCATATTTCCAGAACAAACCAACCGCGACAGTTTGAAGACACGATTTCTGCATCCGTTGTCATGGTAGCTACCAATTAGCTGTAGTTGAAGGATATTGGAGTATCGGCGTCGGATCTTAAGTGATTCGGACAGATACTGTATAGCAGTGCGAGATTTGACATTTCTTAGTTTGCTTGCATTTTCAAATGTCATTTTATAATCGAGGTTCAGCGGAAAATAAACACTTCTATTTGATTTATTTTGATTTATTTGATGCCAGCATTTCAAAAACAAAACAAAAAAACAACATTCTACTTATGGGTATACGGTCGCCCGTAAATATGTTGTTTAATAAGTAATATAATAATGAAAATTAAGTATGGTGTTAAAGCCAGCAATGCAATTTGTTGTTGTTGTCAATTACAGTAAACTGTAAAACTATTTATTTTAACTGTTTTAATGCTCCACGGACATGCCAGAGAAACAATGAGTTCTATTGATATTTTACATGTTCACGTAAATTTAATTTAGCGGATTTTACTAATAAATAACGTTATTAATAAATAACGAAATCAAAGACCAGCGAACAATTAGTGTGTTTACAGTATATAAGCAGATTTGTCCAATCATCTCCAGCTGCCAAACATACGCTTAATCATTGAACGCCCTCCAGTCCCGGATATCAAAATTTTAGTTGGAACAGACAATGATGACTTCAACTAAACATTAATGTCGTCTATCATATTCATGTAATGTTGAAAAGTACAATGAATTTATATTGTGTTACTGTATTTTTTGTCAAATATTATACGCGTTTTCAAATATATATGTATATATGGTTCATGACTATTCTTTGACACTAGCAGTTAATATAATTATTGTTAGTGGTAATGGAATAATTAACCATTGACGCAATTATAGCATTTCAACAAAATCAACTGATAACCACCCGAAAAAGTTACTTTTACCAATAATGTAATGACAAAATCAGGTATTGTTATGTATGTATGTTACATCGCTAGTACAACCAATAGCTTCTCCTTTCATCTCGGGTACTCATGTATACTTTTAGGGTTGACTTTTACGGCCACGGGATACATGGCTACCACGAGTTTGACTTATGCTACATCGAGATACTCTTGTCTACTCCTAGCGTTGACTGACACGTTGCTGCACGATTCTTTCGTCTTCTCCTAGTGTTTATTGTTGAGACCCCGTGTACCCATGTATGACCCTGGTGTTAACTGTCACAGCAACGAGATACTTGTGTCTACAGCTATTGCTTACTGATGCAACATCGGGATACTTCTGTTTATGTTCAGTATTAATTCCCTGCTGCACACTGCTTGAGTATAGGTTTATGTCAACACCACTCTCTTTCAACAAATACACTGTACATAATAAGTATTCTGTCAAAACAAACAAAATACGTAAGAAAATTAAAATTAAAACAAAATCCACGACTCTCAGATTCTTTAGGTAGCCGAACTACGCAATCGCAGATCGAATATCTCAAAGCGCGTAGGTGAGAACGCTAGCGAAACTCACGCGTGACTAAAAATCAGGCGGAATCGCTACAAAATGCCAGTTTTCTCTCCAGAAGAGAGTCAAATAGTGAACGCAAACCTGACAAACTAACCATTGCATAAATATTGCCGCGGATTGCGTTTCCTTGACAAGTTATCGGGCATGCTTAAATCAGTTAAATTCAGGGAGGAAGGCACCCGGATGGAGGTAGACATACGATTATGTTATCAGGTCGACATAAGAATATGTCTACCTGTAATGTAAGAATCTGATTGGCTGTCATTGTCATAATGTATAATTATATATGTTGCTCTATGAATAAATACCCAAAATAAATATAATAGAAATTTTGTTTCTTCATAATAATGATGTAATCGGCTGAATGCGTATCATAAACAGTATATAGTTTCGTTATGCTGGCTGAAATAGAAATGTTTAAATTTATTTCAAAAATTACCGGTACAAGGCTTAGCATTAGCGATACCTAAAATATAAAAGTATAATTACAAATTGTTGTTTTTACTGATATGTACTCCCACATGCCAAGCCGTTATTCATCGTGTTTTTTAATGATAAATGTCATCTGCATTATGAGTATAATCTGTATTCAGTTTCGAAACTGCCAATGAAACTAATTACTCTAATGACAGCTTTATTGTGTTCATTGCACTACAATTTTATTCAACACATGCCGCATGTTAAAATTCAACTAATTCATTAATGGCTTTTCAAACAATTAATATTTGTCACACTCAATTGAACACAAGTTATTAATAAACATAATAATACATGTGGGAAGTAAATATTCTAGACGATATTTGGCGTTATTTGCAAAGCAGAGTAAATATTGGTATTTGAAGGTTGACTGCCACATTGTTCCAAATACAGGGGGACATTTATTTTCAGGGCGATATTTTCGTTAAAAAATTTGTGTTTGTTTAATTCAGACGCCGTATGTATATATTATGGATATATATTCCATATTGTCAAGAAATGTATTCACGTATTCTCAAACTGTAGACTTTTCTTTTGCAATTTCGGTCTCGTGGACCGCCTGTTTCGTGGACCTTCGGACAACTGGGATGACCCTTGTGGCGAATGCCTATCATGTAATGCGAATGCCTATCATGTAATGGTGAATGCCTAACATGTAATGGCGAATGCCTATCATGTAATGGCGAATGCCTATCATGTAATGGTGAATGCCTAACATGTAGTTGTGAATGCCCATCATATAATTGTGAATGCTTATCACGTAATTGTGAATGCCTATCATGTAATGGTGAATACCTATCATGTAATGGTGAATGCCCATCATGTAATGGCGAATGCCTATCATGTAATTGCAAATGCCTATCGTGTATTGCGTATGCCTATCATGTAATGGTGAATACCTATCATGTAATGGTGAATGCCCATCATGTAATGGCGAATGCCTATCATGTAATTGCAAATGCCTATCATGTAATGGTGATTGTCTGTCATGTAATGGCGAATGCCTATCATGTATTTGTGAATGCCTATCATGTAATGGTGAATGCCTATCATATAATTGTGAATGCCCATCATGTAATTGTGAATGCCCATCATATAATTGTGAATGCTTATCACGTAATGGTGAATGCCTATAATGTAATTGCAACTGCCTATCATGTATTGGCGTATGCCTATCATGTAATGGTGAATGCCTATCATGTAATGGTGAATGCCTATCACGTTATGGCGTATACCTATTATGTAATTGTGAATGCCAATCATATAATTGTGAATGTCTATCATGTAATGGTGAATGCCTATCATGTAATGGTGAATGCATATCATGTAATGGTGAATGGCCATCATATAATTGTGAATGCTTATCATTTAATTGTGAATGCCTATCATGTAATGGTGAATGCCTATCATGTAATGGTGAATGCCTATCATGTAATGGTGAATGCCTACCATGTAATGGTGAATGTCTATAATGTAATGGTGAATGCCTATTATGTAATAATGATTGCCGATCATGTAATGGTAAATGCCTATCATGTAATAGTGGTTGCCGATCGTGTAATGGTGAATGCATATCGTGTAATGGTGAATGCCTATTATGTAATGGTGAATGCATATCATGTAATGGTGAATGCCTATCTCGTAATTGTGAATGCCTATCATGTAATTGTGAATGCCGATCATGTAATGGTGAATGCCTATCATGTAATAGTGATTGCCGATCATGTAATGGCGTATGCCTATCATGTAATGGTGAATGCCTATCAAGTAATTTCGATGCCTATCACGTAGTGACAATAAGTAGGATCAAACAGTCATGGCGTTCCATACGAATACATCATATACATATTTCTTACCACAACATATGGAGCGTAATTAACGGTAAAATTAAATGTGAATTTTTTAAGTTAAGAAATGAAGTTTGAAGTGAAGATCTGCATTTGTAATTAAGATTTTACTTTGAAATTCAGATATGAAGTTTGTGATTTGTGAATACGCCCTCAACAACAAAATACGAGTATAATTTCTGAACCATTTTTACAATATCTTAAAGGGGTACTGCCATCAAAGCCGGAAACTGACTTTTTTTTTTCAAAACAGCAGCGTGAGTAGTCGTATACGCCACACATGTGATGGTATAAGTAGTGTGCATGGCAGGATCTGCGCATTCAACCCACTCATTATCACTAATACTGTGTTCTACGAATATATATCTGCCACCACGGTAGCTATGATTTGCGTGGCGGCCAGTATAATGCAGCAGTGGTTCCTCGAGTGATGTCAATGACTCCTTGGGCAGTGCTCTGCCAGTCTGTTCGTGGATGAAGTGTCTTAACTGTGGTTTACCATGCGACGTCTGATCGTATTTTACTTATCGGTGGCACAACTCAAGATAAGGACTCAATTTTTGAAAAAAAAACACAAAACGAGACGTCGAAAAGGACAAAACAAAGACTGTGTAACACGGTCGCCATAGCTACTTTTGTAAGTTAAACTACTTGTTATGTTTGTTATACGTTTACACCGCTGGTTTGTGTAATTTGCGCCAATTTCCTTTGTGGCAAAACAATATGATAGAAATTTGTAGAAATAGAAAATTGACTGATTTTAAACAGTGGTTTTAATGGTGGTGCCGTTAACGTTGATTTTTGTTTCATTAACGATATCATAATAAGCTTGTACTAAGTTGTTGCCTCTTGAACATAGGAAAATAGACTGGCAAAGTCGGGACTACTTTTTTGTTTTACAAAAAAAAAACATTATTAATTGTCAATTTAGCCTTTTTAACGAAAACTAGCGAAAACTGGCGTGACAGGGAAAGAAATCCCGACTGGACGCATCTGCAGGCGATCCCCTGCGTTGGAGTGAAAACCGAAGCGGAATCACTCTGGTGATTATGCTAATTAAAAGTTGTTGACTAGCATTAACAACGAATTATAGTGCAGCTATATACTGCATATCTTATCTATCTTAATGTACGTGACCTTTCACTTCTGAGGTCCCGGCGATTTTGAAAGACTACTTATCTACATTGGACATTTAAATCGACTTGTTTTCAGTAAACATGCATGAAAGTATCCATCTCTGCGATCGAATCGAGTCAACCTTTAAAATGTCATGTTTAATTTTACACACACACCCACTCGTCAATAATCAATGACATCATAGATAATTAATAGCAGTCAAATGCCCGCAGATGCGTCCAGTCGGGATTTCTTTAGCGGTCAGGTTAGTTTTCGCGATCACGCTAAAGAGACTAAAAGAACAATTAATTATTTCATTTTGTAAAACAAAAAAGAAGTCCGACTTTGCCAATCTAATAGAAAACTTGCTTAATGGTTTACAAAAAAATAAGAGAGTAAATGCGAACGTGGATCTGCCAACTTTATTGATTTCAAATAAAACACAGACGTGATTTCCTCTCGAATATGGTAGTTTTTCCGGCCAATACAACTCACTAATTCAAAAGTACAATCACATAATCATCATATCACATTTTTAGTGTGTTGTATTCCAAAACAGATTCATCTTTTGGAACAATTTAGAATAATTAAATTTAGAATAATTAAATTGTTATCCATCAATGAATGGACTGTGATCATAGACCTCCATTTTCTAAGACTTATAGTGCAAGGTGCAGTAGCTCAATATAACAGAAGAAAAATAATGTTGTTACCACGGTTACAGTTTATAGTTTTGTATCAAAATCTATATAAGATTGAAGTGTCTTATTTAAAGAAAAAGAAGATTTAGCACAAACTACCAATATTTCAAAATCGTCCGCATTTGTACAATCACACTTACAGGTTATGAGTCACCTCCCCTTTCCAGGTATAGGGCGCTTGAGCGTGTACGTATTTATCAAGTTTGAACAAATTTCTGGCTTTTATTTTGTCACAAAAACGTTTGTATAATGACGTGTGTTGGTTGCGAATTCATGTGATTCAAACTACATATATCACTTACAATCTTCATATCTTTAACTATAAATGCATATCGGTTGTTTTCAAACAATTATATACTTATTACAACATAAAACATAGGACCAGAATTCATGAACACGGCAATCGCCTCGTCACTGAAGGCAAACGCACTACCTACGCCACACTCACTGCGCCATGAAATGCAAATCGAAATGACATACTTTGTATTATGAATACCGCCCACATCGACTACTTGGTAATATCGAACATAACAAACAGCGTATATAGCTTATATATGATCATATAAATAGGCCAATATAAACGTTTATCGATATATCTTGTGGTGTTTTCCTAGGCGGCGTCCTTGCCTTGATACTATATGTATCTTGTATATATGACCTTTAAAGTGCCTTGGAAATACCCCCACACACACATTTCCCATTTGTGTTCCACTGAAAGAGACAGTTATTAATTTTTTGGTTGAAAATGATTACTCGTGTTCGAGTAAATATTTCTCGTGTTGTAGCCAAGCCCACCGATACTGAAACAGTCGACTGTTTCCGGATTTTCGACTCTAGCCGAAGTAAAAGGGTGCCACTAAACGCCAAAATATGAAATGAAGTCACACTCTTGCCTACACTTTTATAATACATTTAACGAGGCTGCTTTTTTGAAACGTTGTATTTTTGGCAGACTTAAGAGGACGTACAGTAATAGTGTGAGAATTTAAGTGTTTCCAAACGATCCGAAGGTCCATAAAATCAATGAGATAAAGTTGGGATGGACAAAATCTGATGTAGGTATGAGGCTCCAATTTTTTTTTCACCTATATTGTATTTATTGATGTGCATTGCTAACAGCTCAGCTATCTCAGCTGAGAGGCTGTAAGCACAGTGTACTTTTTTCGCCAACTCTTGTAATGCAAATTTCATACAACTTACGTTATGAGATTAATGCAGCACATGGATTAATTTAACATGTCAATTAGTATTTTTTCAGACATGATGCTGTACTATAATTTTTATTCATACCAGTTCTGTTTTTTTTTATAATTCCTGACTTCATT